GGATCGCCGGAGCCCGGCGGGTCGAGGCTGCGGTGGCCGGGAGCGTGCCACCGCCCTCCAGCCTGGGCGACGGAGTGAAGTCCCAACTCAAAAAAATAAAAAATAAATAAAGCTCAAAAGAAAGAAAGAAAGAAAAGACATCCACTTAGATGAGACGACAGCGCGCAGAGCTTTGCTTTGCTGTGTGGCACGTAGCAAGGGTAGTTTCGAGAATCCCCATTCATTGGCTGCCCTTACTGCAGGGTGCGGTTAGCAAATCTCTGTTTTCTTGCAGTTTCTCTCTAACTGTGTAGTTGGGGCTTCCCTGGAAGAAATTACGGAAGAAGAGGAGGAGGAAGACGAAAGCAAATCAGCTGTGCCAGAAGCTTCGGCGGCCAAGCTGAAGGAGGGCACCTTCCAGATTGTGGGCACGCTTGCCAATCCCAAGAGCACTCGGCCTGACTTTGCGGTGGAGACATACTCGGTAAGCCCAGGTGGTTTCTGCCAGGGTTTTCGTGGGAGGACTGCGTACACACAGCAGCCCTCAAGGGCAGAGACCAAGAGATGGAGAAGGGGGCATGAGCCGGGCACGGGGGGCTCACGCCTATAATCCCAGCACTTTGGGAGTCTGAGGCGAGAGGATTGCCGGAGCTCATGGGTTCGAGACCAGCCTGGGAAACTTGGTGAAACCTCATCTCTACAATAAATCAAAAAATTAGCCAGGCAAGGTAAGGCATGCCTACAGTCTCACTCTGTCGCCCAGGCTGGAGGGCAGTGGCCGCTCCCGGCCACCGCAGCCTCGACCTGCTGGGCTCCGGCGATCCTCCCGCCTCAGCCTCCCGAGTAGCTGGAATGGCAGGTGCACGCTACGACGCCCGGCTAATATTTTGATTTAGTGTTATTGAGAAGCAGTGCCGCTTCCACGTGACACATTCCACCCAGGCTGCCGAGACCCGCTGCCCCCCTGAAGGGTGGGCCTCCCCGCTCCCAAGCTGACTCCTCCCTCTGCCCTGCCACTGCTCTCTGGACCGTGCTCACCCTGGAACCGCCTTCCCTCTGTCTTCACCCACCTGGCTGTAGCCATCCTTCAAGCTCACAGCGTCACCTCCTCCGGGAAGCCATCCACGGTTCCTGCTTCTCCCCCGATTGGGATCTGGAGTTCCCTGCCTAGATCCTGGCACTTCTCACACCGCAGTGCCGTCATCTGCCTGTTGTGGGTCCTGTGGACTCTTGGCTGCTCAAGGGTAGACTGTGCCACGTCTGTCCTCGTGTCTGCCCATCTGTCTCTGGCCCCGACCACAATCGCTGGCCCGGCGTGGCCTCCACGGGCACTGGTGGACTGGATGAACGAGCCCCCGCCCCGCCCTCGCTGGCTCCCTCTTCCCCACTTACCCGCCGTCCTGTCCCCTCTCTTGCGGGTATTCGCTGGCCACTGGCTGCCCCTTTCCACCTGCACATCCACTCAAACCGGTCCCTACAGGGCAGGCTCGGTGGCGCAGCCTGTCATCCCAGCACTTTGGGAGGCCGAGGCGAGGGGATGGCCTGAGCCCACGGGTTCGAGACCCGCCTGGGCAACTTGGCGAGACCTCGTCTCTACAATAAATCAAAAATGAGCCGGGCGTGGTCGCACGCGTCTGTGGTTCCAGTTACTCGGAAGGCTGAGGCGGAAGGATCGCCGGAGCCCAGCAGGTCGAGGCTGCGGTGGCCGGGAGCGTGCCACTACATTCAAGTCTGGGTGACAGAGTGGGACTCCAACTCAAAAAAAAAAAAGATCAGGCACGCTTACTGATTTTATGTGCCTCCCCTGCCCCCCACCTAGCAATGTCCTGTTACTGCCAATTCCTTTCCTGAAGTATTATGATAGGTGTTCAGGGTCTGCTGATGGGTGAGGACATGTGGTATTCAGTTCTTCGGTTCTGTGACTGAGTATAAGAGACTCCACATCCATCCAAGTTGCTGCGAAGTCCAAAGTTCTTTCCTTCTTTATGGCTGGGTAATATTCCATCGTGTATATGTACCACATTTTTAAAGTCCAGTCCACTTTCAACGGGCAGCACGGTTGGTTCCATGTTTTTGCTCTTGTGAACAGTGTGGCAATAAACATGCGTGTGCAGGTATCTTTTTGGTAGAACGATTTGAGTTCCTCCAGGTATATTCCCAGTAGGAGGATTGCTGGGTCATATGGAAGGTCAAAAAAAGTTCTAGTTCTTTTAGGAATCGCCACACTGTTTTCCATAGAGGTTGACTGGTTTGCATTTCCACCAGCAGTGTAGAAGCGTTTTTTTTTTCTCCGCATCCTCGCCAGCATCTGTTGTTGTTTGTTTTATTAATGATGGCCATTCTTCCTGTGGTATCTCAGTGTGGTTTTGATTTGCATTTCTCCGAAGATGAGTGAGGCTGAGCACTTTTTCTGGTGTCTGTTGGCCGTCCGTGTATCTTCTTTGGAGAAGTGTCTGTTCATGACTTTTGCCCACTTTTTGATAGGGCTGTTTGTTTTGTTTTGTTTTTGCCTTTCAGCACTTTTGAGTTCCTTGTAGAACCTCATAGGCATTTGTCAGATATACAATTGGCAAAGATTTTTTCCCAGTCTGTGGGCTGTCTCCCCAGTCTCTTGATGGTTTCTTTTGCTTTGCAGAAGCGTTTCAGTTTGATGAGGTCCCACTTAACTATCTTATTTCTTAAGGTATGGGCATTTAGGGTTCTGAATAGGAATTGGTTGCCGGTTCCAATTTCCATAAGGGTATCTCCGGCATTTTCTAAGGTTCTTACAGTTTGAGGTTTTACGTTTAGCCCTTTGATCCATTTAGAGTTGATTTTTGTATATGGTGATAGGTAGGGGTCCTGTTTCGATCTGCTGCATGTGGTCAGTCAGTTTTCCCAGCGGTTGTTGGTGGAGGCTTTGTTGAAGAGGAGGTGGCTGAGAAATTGAGGTTTTGCTTTTGGAATTTCTATCCTGTTCCATTGGTCTGTATGCCTGTTCTTGTACCAATATATTTTTTAAAAATATAATACGAATAACTTTTTTTTTTTTTAATAGAGGTGAGGTCTCACCATGTTGCCCATGCTGGTCTCTGTCTCCTGGGCTCAAGCAATCCTCCCACTTTGGTCTTTCAAAGTGCTAGGATTATAGGTGTGGAACGCACCCAGTCCCTTCACAGTTATCTGGATACCCACCCATAGTTTTGTAGTTTTAGGAAATGCACTTCATCCCTGCAGCAGTGTCTAGTTAAAGGGCAATCACCACCGAAGTTATTTCTGTCTAATGTAAGAAATTGGGATTTTTTATTTTTATTTTTTGAGTTGGAGTCTCACTCTGTTGTCCATGTTGGAGGTCAGTGGCACACTCACGGCCACCGCAGCGTCGACCTGCTGGGCTCAGGCGATCCTTCCGCCTCAGCCTTCCAAGGAGCTGGAACCACAGGCATGTGCCACCATGCCCGGCTAATTTTTTGATTTATTGTAGAGATGAGGTCTCGTCAAGTTGCCCAGGCTGGTCTCGAACACGTGGACTCAGGCAATCCTCTCACCTCGGCTTCCCCAAGTGCTGAAATTATAGGCGTGAGCCACCGGGCCCAGCTGAGAACTTGGGATTTTTAATCATTAAACATTTTCTGTATTTTTAAAAGATTCCCAACTGTCAACTGAAATGAGGTACCTTACATCTAGAAAGAGAGCGAACTCGTTCTACCTTGAGGATTCTGCAACAATCCATGTTAATCACTCCTCAGCACTTCTGAGTGACTCATGATATATAATTGTTCAAATAATCTTACACCAAGTCTGAATTAGCTTTCAATGTCTTACTCATTTTCTTCTAGCGTGTTCTAATTCTTCCCTTCTGAACTTTAAACAGCATGAAGAAATTGTACCCAAGATCGTTATCCAATTTTTAATCGTCCATTCCGAGCTGTTTTCTTTTCCTTTTTTTTTGAGTTGGAGTCTCAATGTCGCCCAGGCTGGAGTGCAGTGTCACGCTCACAACCAAGCAGCCTTAACCTGCAGGGCTCAGGAGATCCTTCCACCTCAGCCTTCCCAGTGGCTGGAGCTACAGGCATGCACCACCACACCTGGCTAATTTTTTTGATTTATTGTAGAGACAAGGTCTCGCCAAGTTGTCCAGGCTGGTCTCCAACCCCTGGGCTCAGGCAATCCTCTTGTCTCCACCTCCCAAAGTGCTGGGATGACAGGTGCGAGCCACCACACCCAGACTCAAGCTGTTTTCATAAACTTCTTTGCTATTTGAAAACTACATGCAAAGCCGGGCTCGGTGGCTCTAGCCTGTCATCCCGCGCCTTTGGGAGGCTGAGGTGAGTGGATTGCCTGAGCCCGTGGGTTCGAGACCTGCCTGGGCAGAGGAGACCTCATCTCTACAATAAAATTAAAAAATTACCCGGGCATGGTAGCGTGTACCTGTAATTCTGGCTACTCACAAGGCTGAGGCGGAAGCATCGCCAGAGCCCAGCAGGTCGAGGCTGCGGTGACTGGGAGCGGCCACTGTACTCCAGCCTGGGCGACAGAGTAAGACTCCAT